AGCCGCACAACCATGAAAGGCAGGCCGCCGAAAACGGCGACGGGGCGAAGGGCGAGGGGCGGGGAGGGGGGGGGGGGGGGCGGCGGCGGGGTCCCTTAAAAGAAAACATTGTCTTCTATACTAAGTGTCTTTGTTCTTTTGTTTAACTTTCTTTCTTTGTGTTATTTATCTATTTATTGTTTCTTTCTTGTCTTGTGTATTCATTTCATATTTATTTGGTGACTGCTTATCTTCTGAGTACATAACAAAAGGTCAATTAAAATGATAAAAACGGTATGGATCATTCTCTTGTTCATATTAAAATGTTTTCATCATATATACAAACAGAAGAAAATCTATTATTACGATAGAGGAACAGTTGGTCAATTTCATTGACTAGGAATTCATGTCATATTGATTTGTATATTCTAATGAAAGATAAAGCTAACTAAAATTTTTCGTTTTTGCACAAGTTAGTAAGTCTCTTTTGTATAACACAGATAATAAATATAGACGTTTGCTATTTGCGCCATCTTTTGCTTTCCAATGCACATTGATTGAGACAGACCAATCAATGAATTTCTTCTTTTCTCTACTCAAACAAACATACGATTTATGATTAAGTTATGTTCTCTTTTGTGAGAAACTCCAAGCATTTCACTGAAGAATATCAATTAACAAATATGTAGAAGAGACTAGAATGATGATTACTATCATATATTTCATTGATTCTATCATCAATCTCAGTCACAAATAGATTTTAAACGAATCTGATCATATATACTAAGAAAACAATATTGTGATAATTTTTTTAAACAGAAATTATTATTAGAATATCATTAAAAAAGTTACATAAAGTTTTGTTTTATTTTTTAGATGACTATATCTGAATTTTATAATAATTTAATAATATCATCTATATTTCCTTTTAAAACTAGCAAACAACCAACAAGATCAAAAACTCAACGTCATAGGTTTCTCGATGGTCTCGCTTTATTACTTAATGGTTCAAATAAATGTACATCAGTTTATCCATTGTTGAAAGAAAAAAAAATATTAATAACATGTAATGAATCATTAAAAAATGATGATAAAATTTATTTTGATGAATTTTTTGGTTTAATAAGAGAATATTCACAGGCCTCGCAGCGTGTTTACTTTCCTGATTTATTCCTGATTTTTTAAGACTGTCCTGATTTTCCTGTTTTTGACCAAAAATCCTGATATTGTCCTGATTTTTCCTG